GTAGGGAAGCATAGAGTTTTTCAGGACTCTGCATTTGACTGTTTGTCTCTTTACAACATAATATTATATTGAATTAGTCAGGCTCCAGTAAGGAGAGAAAAATCACACCAATTATTTGAACAGAGAATTTAATACAAAGAACAGTTAATACAGTATAAAGTTCTAAACTAGGTAATCCAGAGACCAAGAAGAAAACCGAAGTGTCACTGAGAAGCATCTATCACCTCTACAGCTGAGGGAGCAAAATGAAGAGATTGGGGTTGTTGCAATTGAGGAACTTCAAGGAGCGGAAACTCAAACTGCTGTCAAAGGACATCTATGCCAGGGTGCTTCTGTCTCCAAGAGGGAGCTGGTCAAGCTGGATCTTTAAGTGTTGGGAAAGCTGCAAATGTGTCTCAGCTGTTCATAGAGAGTAGGAAAGACTTGGGAGTGGCATCCACAGATCTGTAGGCAGATGGGAGCTGATCGAAGGTACAAGTCCCTTCTCCCTGTCCCAGTCTTGCAGCATTATGGCCCCTTATTAGCAGAGCCAAATTGTCAGCCTGTGGGGATGTGGTTTGCATACTCCCAGCTCAAGGGACAAGATGGGAGGGTAGGTTTGGAACCAGGGCAGGTAACTGATGTTATTAGATGATCTACTCTAAGTGTACAAATTGAAGTTTGCAATTAACCTCCTATGAACTTGAGTAGCTTGAAACAGTTCCTCAGACCTCTTAGTAATTCCTCTGAGGTGACTGATAGCTTCAAGATGGGATCTTAGTCCAAGATCCCTCCAATCAAACATGACACCTCAGCTGTAACCTCCCAGCTCTCGTTTTCCTCCTCTGTTTCCTAGGCTTGATTCTATACATGAGTTTTAGGATACCAAAACTAAAATGGAGTTCAGGATGCAGGGAAAAAAAGGAGTGGAGAAGTGCACTATAGCAATTTCTATTCATTACTGTGGCTTTTCCCTTTTTTAATAAACAAACCTGATTTTGTTAAGGGAAGCAATATGCTCAGTGAGATGAACCATGATTGATTTAAGTCAGTGATCTTCCTCAGATTTGTCTAATACTCAGTTTCTTACAGCTAGATGCCTTGCTACCCGTATTTTTTTTTAAAGAGATTTTTGCTAGGGACCAGCAGTTAGCGTAATAGCTATGTCGCTGGACTCCCATGTAGTCGACCGTGGTTCGCGTCCTGGACCCGGTGGCTTAAAACTCACGCCGGGCACGTGTGTGTGCGTGCTCAAGATCCTGAGAGGAGAATGGAGGAGAAGGGATTGCGGCGTAGCCATCCCCCCTAGGGAGTGACTTCTTGCTTTCTGTCTCTCTGTCTCTCTGTGTCTGTTTGGCGAGCGCATGCACCCTATAGCAAAAACCTCTCTCTCAAAAAAAAAAAAAGAGAGATTTTTGCTATAGGTCACGTGTCCTCGCCAGAGAGACAGAAAACAAGAAATTCCCCCCCCCCCCCACCGAGGAATGGCCACATTGCAATCCCTTCTCCTCCATTCTCTTCTCGGTATTTTAGGCACACATGCACGTGTCCAGCATGAGTTTTAAGCTGCTGGGTCTGGGACTCAAACCACAGTGGACTACATGTGACATATCTATTATGCCATCTGCTAGTCCCCATGTTATTTCTGATTGGAGAGATAAAAGAAAAGAGAAAAGGAAAAAAGAAACCTGCTGGCAAGATTTTTTGGCATACTTTTATTTATTGTTGAAAGACTTTGGCATGTCGGGGAAGGTACTCGCTCTGCCTTTCCTCTTTTATTGTCTGGAAGCAGAGCTGAGAATCTACTACCTGGAACTAAGATAGCCATATTGCAATGAGGTGACAAGTCTGAGGATCAAAAAACATGCTGAGGAAGACAGAATGGACAAAATAGAGCCCCAGTTTCACGAGGAAACTGTTAAGCACTGCACTAAGTCAGGAACACCTGTCTGCAGATTTCTCGATACAAGTACATAGTGATGTGTAAGCTACTCTTCGGTTTCCTATTCCTTGCATCCTGGATGACACAGTCAGCGATTGGCACAGGGAGCTGAGTGACCTGGCATCAAAGCTTGCTGAGGACCAATGACATGGAGAAACAACTGGAACTGTGGCAGCTATCCAAAAAACATCACGCTTAACAAAACTAAAACAATTTTGAATATGGTGACTACTTCTCATAAGAAATAAATCCACAGTGGTTTAAATAACACAGAAACTAAAAAAGCAGTTTGGGGCAGATTTATTTCCTATCTTTTTTTTTTTCTTTTTTTTAGGTTTATTTTTTACTTCTTCCAGGAGCAAGAGACAGCAGAGAGAGAGGCACCCCAAGAGGGTCTTCATACCACAATCTGTCTTAGCTCAGCCAGCTTAGATCATGGTTGTGTATGGAGAGACCTTGAGACAAGAACCTGGGACCTTCAAACATGAGTCCAGCATCACAGAGCATTCCATTACTGCTGTGCTACCAAGGCTGGCCTTCCCATCTTGTTTCTTGGTGTTACTGTGTGCCCAACTTCTGTGATAATGTCAGAATGTCTAGCTTTCCACTTCAAGAAAGCATTCCATCCTTTGCTCCCTCTTTCTTGGCTTCTAATGAATAAAGGAAGATATTCTAAGAAT